GTTGAAAGGGCAGATACTCTAAAAAAGATGGCGAAAACTCCGAGAAGAAGGGTTGACGTCACTGCATTAGTAGCAGAAGCCATTAAGCCGATCCTGGAGCAACTTGCTGGTATTAACCAGCAGCTAGCCAAGATAAATCAATAATTTGTGTCTCGGCAGCTCCAGGAGGTGATCAGAGAAAAAATGGAATTGAGGGCTCTCAAAGCGAATGAGATGGACACTAAATTAAACAGCGATCTCAATGAGAAAAGAAGAAAAAGCACAAGAGAAACAGGAAAAATGTACAAGGATTTAACTTCTTCCCTGCGAGTGTTCTTAAAAAGTGTAATCTTAAAGTATGCTGAGAAAAAAAGAGCTGGAGGTGCCCTTCATAATCAAGAAACCTTTGAAAAGCCACTGGACCCTGAGACCAGAGCGGAAGAGGCTTAAGACTAGCAGTTCGATTCCTTTGGATGGAAGAAGATTGGGCTGCAGTGAACGTCTAAGAAGCTATCAAGAATTTAGAGAGTTTTAGAATAGATGCAAATTGCTTTTATGAAGCGAGCTGGAGGAGATGTTCGGGAAATCTTCTCATAACAAGTAACAATCTAACATATAAGCTTAGAAAGACAGGACCTCACAAAGTATATTGTTTATTAACAGCCTTTTCTTTTACTAACAGCAGTTTAACAGGGAATGATCTCCTAACCTTGGGTTTTTAATTTAGTGTGGGTTATCTTTTCTTTCTCCCTAATTGTAGTCCCCCTATCCCTATTTAAAAAAAAATAAAAAATACCCTCCGGGGGCTTAAAAAAAAGGAAAAAAAAGAATTACAAGTATTTGCATCTGCTTATCTGGTCCTGGAACAGAGAAGAACTTCAGGGAACAATAAGATCTTCTTTCAGGCATCATTTTGAACTCGTCTATCTCAACATAGTGCGGGGAGTTTCCTGATAGTTCACATAGGACTCTGCTCTTGGCAGACTTCCCGGGACCTGGTGCCTTGCTGTACAAAGAAAGATGTTGTTTGGGAACATCTAGATTCTCTATAATTATTGTTATACCACACATATTTCACTCTCGGATGTCCTTCAGCTGGGTGCTTGAATTCTCCAACTATGCTGTTAATCTCAGGTGCATTCCATTCTATTGCTTTTTAATTGCTGCTAAAAGCCTCTTAAATTCTGGTTCTTCTAAAGGAAATCAAAACCATAATATATATATATTCTTCTATTCTAAATTTCTTCTGCCTGGGCTAAATATTGAGATTTGAATATACTATAATCAGGCTCCTAAAAAGGCACAATGGCAACTGGTAATATACAGGACAGGAGAAATGTCAAAAATCACATTCATAAATCACATTCAGCGATCCCTTGTCCTACATAGAGAAATAAAGTAGTATATGAAATACATGCAAAAAGTTATAATGTGATACCAATAATTATCGACTCAACAGACACTTGTATAGAAGCGTGAACTTGTGACAACAGCATCAATAAAAATACCAGGGATACAGATAGGAATAATCTCAAGAACAATAACCTCAATAGAGATAATGTGTTTGTTCAAAGATGAGTAGTTAGTATAAAACATGAACAGTTATAACAGTGTGATAAGACATTAAAACAACAATAAGTTCAATGGTTGAAGTCGCCGTGGAACTATGTCATGAGTAGACAGATATTCAATAACAGGAACCCATTTTGCAATAAACTTGGATTGAGAGGAGTGATTATTAGAGTGAGTCAGTTGGTCAGTAATTTTTCCATTATGAAAAGATTCCAGAGTTTTGAGTGTCACAGTGTAAGAGAGGGTCCAAATTTATCTTTCCATTTGGAAGATGTCTGACAGAATTGATGGCAGTTTGTAATTAGAATAACAAATGTGAATTTGTTCTGATATTATGATTTCCCTTTAATGTTCCCAGCATATTTGACAGAGTCTATCAGGAGGAGGTTGATTAGAATCCCCCCCCCCAAGACTTTCAACTTGATATAGAGTTGATATCTAATTCATGTTTTTGCTATGTTAACTCCTTAAGGCTGACAGCATCCAATATCACACCTACCTTACAGCACTCCCTCTTCTCATGATGTCTTCCTGGGAGGCTACATCACTAGACTATGGAAACTGCTTTTTTGGATGACAAGTTTTTAAAATCCACAAATAAACTGTGTGTTTATGTGGTCAGGCAAGGGAAAAGGTTCTTTTATACTTGCTGCCCATTATATGAGGGCCCAAGAATCAGATTCCTATCCAAGTTGTCAGAATCCTTTTCCACCTTCCCAGATTTTGTCAAGGTTTGTTTCCTGATAGTTGACCGTGAAAAAAATGTGTTGCTTACAGTAGGGCTTGACAAATCCCAGGTGCCAAGTTGCCATGGTGCCTAGAAATTTAACTGTGGTGCCAAGTATTTTTTGGTGGCACCAATAATGAGAAAATGTGGTCATACATAACCTAGAAAGCTCAAATATGAGCCTGGCCCCTAAAACTTTGGCCTGACTTCTACAGCCAAAAGATTTTATTAAGGCCTGGCTTACAAACCATCTTTATTAACTGCTACTGCCTACTGCTAATAAAATTCAACCTGTTTATCCAAATATTTCTTGAACTTGAGATCACAATATTCCTGTACTTTAAACTAACACAAAGCCATTTTTGCTCAAGTTTTATGTCCACTCTGTATTTCCATCTGAATATCTTCTTTAGATTTTGAAATCTGCTCTATATTTGTTGATAAACTTCGATGGCCTATTACTATAAAGAATGAACTTTAATTCAACATACCGTTTCCTTTTGAAAGGTGACTTTGGCATGTCTGCCACAGGTATCATTTGTTCTCCTGGACGCACCCACATAATGGGACCATCATCGCTATCTTTACGACTCTCTAGTTTCAGACTAGAAAGTGTCCCCCATGGCAAAGTACACTAAAAAAATATTTTAAAAATACCCTGAAGTTATTTTCAAGCACCATTATATTAGACACACAAGAATTAAAATACTTCTTTTAATTTGGAACCAAGATAGACGTCCATACATGTTTGGCCTTATTACACAACACAGACAAGCAACTTGGTCAGTATAGAAGTTCACAATTTTACTGACATGTAATCCCAGTATATTCATGAGAATATCCAACTGTTCCTAAACCTCATAATTTCAGTGTTTTTGTGCGTTAGATTGCAGTCTCATTCTAAAATTAGCAGCCTCTAATATGAAAAATTTGATTCAGCTCTTGAACAAATCAAAGGAAAAATTAATGGATGTATGTGTAATTACTTATTTGCTTCCATGTTTCTGATTATTTGTTCATTGTCCCATTTTTGCTATAATAATTTGGAACTCATCTCTGCAACCTTGAGTATAAGAAATGTGCTGTTTAAATAAAACTCAGGTACCCCAATTTAACAAGAGCCCAGGGACAACGTAGAAGCAGATTAGGGACTGCTTGCCCACATGCCAGCTTCAAAATAGCTTCTTTTCTCATTTATGTCTTACTTTTAAGAAAGGTGAATTTTCCAGCTTATCAAGGAACTCTGGAAAGTAGTCCCCTACTTCCTCATCCACTGCTCCAACCAAACTGATTTGTCTCATTGGGCCAGCTCTATATGTACCATGGGAATATGTTCTTTTTACCTGAAATAAAGCCATTGAAGTGAGAAAGAGTCAATTAGTTTGTACTCAAATATATTTACCAAACCAGTTTCATTCATACATTAACATTTTCTCAAATATCAACACAGTTCTTTGTTGACAAATCAAAATTTTCTAATACTACATATGTATTTCTGGGAAATTATGACCACTTCTGTAAGCAACAGTGAGTATAATCCTATGTTACCATTTAAATACAATGTGATATTCAATTAAATGCAAAACTGGCAGCAAATTTAATTAAAATCAAATGCAAAACTGGCAGCAAAAATACACAATACATAAGAAGATAGAAATTCATTGAAAAGTAAAGGGAAGAGCAGGTTGCTTACCTGTAACTGGTGCTTGAGTAGTGATCTATGCAGTCATACTAATAGGATTTTGCACCTGTGCAGAGCAACATCCAGAACCTCCTATTAGACCAACATTAGAAAGGACTTTGGAGACCAGAGCCCTTCAGCTCTGTGAGGAGGATGCTAATGCAAATGCCTTAAGATGTTCCAGTTAAACATAGAAGGAAGCAGTCTTTTTAGCACAGGAGGCTACTCTACAGGCATCTACAGCTTACAGAGTTCTTTCTGTATCCTTAGATTGGTTAGTGGAAAGGAGAGGTAAGACAAGGTCCTGGATCAAGTGGAACTCAAAAATTACCTCTGGAGAGAAGCAATGTCGGAAAGAATGGCTTCATGCCAAAGAAATAAAGATACAGGGCCACGTAAAGCTCTCTTGCTTATTTTGGGAAATTGTTTCAACAAGAATGTCAGTTTTTAAAGATTGATATTGCATGCTAACAATAGTTTGAAGGAACATTTCACAGACTGGGAGGGATCAGATGGGGACAGCAGTACAGTTGGGGGGGGGAGGCAGAAAGGTCAGAAAACTTTTAAAGAATTGTTTAATCAGAGAATGAAAGTGAATAAAGTACCAACCTTGTAAACTGTGAAACAGCTCCACATTAATTTAGATATTACATGCTGAGTCACTGGGAATGTATGTGGGAAAGGTACTACAAAACTAGGGGGGAGGATTAAAAGGATCCCAGGCCTGTGATCTAGCAAAGATGCAGAACTGATTCCATTGAGAGGAATTTTATGTGGATATTCTTCTGAATCCCAGGAAGCCCTACTGGGAACATAAAATTCCTGGGAAAAGCTATTCCCCAAGCCATTAGCTTGGGGTTTGACTTTTAAAATACTTATGCAAAATTGACTGGTAGTTGTTATATTGTATGAACTGTATATTATTGTTATATTGAATGTACTGAATATATATACCTGATTAGGATGTTATAAGAATACACAATGCACTTTATAGAATAGAAATTTCTGGCCTGCAGAAGATGGCCAAAGGTTGTCCTGGGACCTGCAAGACAGCCATAAACTATGACTGGCATGATCCCACGGGGTAATTAAGATGCAGCATGAGTTTTCCTAAATGATCTTGTTGAGAACTTCCATGATGAAGGATAGAGGGAAAATGCATAGAGAAGCATCCCTGACCAGAGTGCCAAAAATACATTCCTGAGGGACTGTCAACATCATCCCGCCTTGCTGTAATACCTGGGGCATGATGTTGGTGACCAAGGCAAAAGCATCTACTAATGGTCAGTCCCATACAACAAGGGCTAGATATACATAAGTCAAAGAAAGCAACCATTTGAGTGCTACTCACTTGCTGAGATACTTGAATGGCTCCTGGGTGATTTGATGCTAAATGCAACTCTCTCATAGTTGGAGAGACAGTCAGCAGCCTCCCCAGTTTATATAGTATCTTTACAGTGTTTTCATGTATACTGATAGAGAACATCAAAGGGCCTTGTGAATTGCTGAAAGCTCCAGAAGGCTGGTGCAGATCTTGCAGACTGCATTGCCCTTGCAAGGGGCCCTCAAAGGAAAGCAACAAGTTGTTTAAGGGCCAGAATGCCTGAATGAACTCAAGCTAGAAAACCCTCATTTGAAACTTTGTGAAAGATATTATGAAGGTGCCAGCAGCCATGATAAAGAAGAGAGACTAGATTTGAAGAACTGTCTATTGAGATCATGAGATGAACTCAACAGCCAAATGGGCCAAAGTGTCTGCTCTGTCAAGAGGCAGGTATGCCTGGGCACATGTGGATGACAGCTCCTATTAAGTGAATGTGTCTGGGGTATAAAGACACTCAGATATTCAAGCAGACACATGGGCGTGTGCACATAATTAAGGAAGAATTACTGGGGATCCACCTGGAAACCAGTCAGTTATGTGGGGACAATATTTAGTGCCATGGTGGTAAAGATGTACAGTGCTACCAAAAGGCATTTGTCATAGGACAATGTGCCCCACATTGAAGATGCTTTCTGAAGCTTGACTGTTGTGCCACAGGCAAACAGGGGGATGGATAAGACACCACAGAAGAAAGGGAAAACTAGAGGCCAGATATGAATGGGAAAAGATAGGTCCAAGAGTAAGCTGGGCTCAAAATTACAAAAATTCCCAATGATGTATCTGCATCAGCTGATGAAATAAACAGAAACAGGCAGCTCTGCCCCTTTAGGCATGTGCATTAGTGCTCTCTCGCTTGAGTCTGACGGGGCCAAACTCCAAAATTCTTTCTAGTGAAGCTCTAGAACAAGGGTGGCCAAACTGTGGCTTGGGAGTCACATGAAGCTCTTTCACACATACTGTGCATCTCCCGGCAGGGCGGCTGGGGAAGTGAAGGGGAGGCATGCCTCCTCGATCGGTCTTCCGTTCTCTAGCCAGTGTTCCCCTCCCTGGGTAGGCTTGAGGTGAGGGGAGCAGAGAAAGAAAGCAAATAACATTAAATGTGTTCTGAAAATTGTCACACACACCCCGCCGCCAGCTTGGAGGAGGCATTTGTCTCTTTAAATCCCTTCTCCAAGCCAAGCCAGCCGATGTGAGGGTGTGGGGAGGGGGGCTTGGAGGATGCATTTAAAGTTGCTTTCTTTCCACCTCTCCCTCTCTCCCCCATCATTTGCTTTCTTTGTTTCTCTCTCTTTCTCTCTTTTGTTCTCTCTCTCCTTCTCTCTTAGACAAATATAATTAGCAAACAAGTAAATATAATTGGATAAATAAATATCATTATCAATATCTGTTTTTACCCCTTTTGTTTTTATTTTTGGCAGCCTCATTTAATGTTAATAAAAAGCAAATTTGAATATTTTTCAATAAAAATAAGGGTGTAATATCTGTTCATGTCTTGTGGTTCTCAAAAATCTGACATTTATTCTATGTAGCTCTTATATTACGCAAGTGTGGTCACCCCTGCTCTAGAAGGTTCACAGCTTTGCTCTGTGTGGGTGCAAAAGCCCACCTGCAGAGACCAGAAGAAAGAAGCACAGAACCTTTTAGAAGCAACTTATGTGCAACAAATAGCTATATTTTAATAATGCTGCAACCCAGCTGGAAGAGAGAAAGACATTCGACCTTTAATAATCTCTTCATGGAGATACATAAAAAGAGATGCAGAAGGATAGAGTGCCCCATTTACGTTAGAACATTTTTTGAAAAATGTCACTGTTCATTCATTACTAGCCTATGCCTTACTTGAAACGCAAGTCTGTTCAATATATCCTAGAACAGCAAAAAAAAAAAAATGATTACAAAGCTTCAGGTAAATGCAGCAAGGAATTAAGAGAAAGTGAATATTTGTGCACTAAAGCCTAATGCTGTTCCTATTTGGAGAAAAAAGATAGTGGATGGTATTTACATGCACTCTGCATAGAACATCATTGATTCTTTGATTTTTTTCAAGCCATGGACCAAATGACAGGATCAGCTTCACAGTACATGAACACACACTGCTGGGTAATCCATTCAATGGTTCTCTCAAGTTACCAACCAGGAAATACATCACTTAGGATATCATACTTTTCTTTTCTTTCTCGTGGAATTTTTTTTTAAATCACAACGGCAGCAGCAACAACCACCTAAACTCACACATGACCAAAAGCTTTCAGTTTCAAAAGACCATCCTTCCTTCAAAAATATATGAATCAAGTGTAAAGACAAAACCATTCAGTTGTCTAGAAGCTGGCATTATATTATATATGCCTAGAAAGCTCCAAAATTATAATTATATTCAAGTTAGTATCCCCCTCGTTTTAATTTTTATTACCTTCTACTAAATGTACACATTCACTACCACCTCCCAATAATCTAATACCATCAGTTTTCTTCTTTTAAAAAAGGAGTGATCCTTAACCAGAAGTTGTACAGACGCAATGCTGCGCTCAAATAGATACACAACCACCAAAGTTATAAAAGGGATTTGACCTTTCAGAAAAAAATAATCTGGGAAATTTTCCAGTTTCCTACATTGAGTATGCTGATATTTATTTTGATTTATTTAAGCAAAAAATAATCAGATGTATGCAATGATAATTTTAGGTCCCATCAGCAATATAGAAATGAATGAGAACAATTGATCAGGAAAAAAAATAAATCAAGTGTAGATCAATTATTATGTTAAAAATGAACACTTTATGTGGATTTTATTGGATTAATATTTGTAACAGCTTAAATACAATATATCATGTGCTTCCTTTGCATTGCTTAAATTGAAGAAAAAAGCAAAAGTTCTAAAAACTGTAGATACACTCCTTTTAGCACACTGAGAGAACCATGCATGACATGCCATGGATGTGGACATTATTAATAGAAAAAATTAAGTTTTGGTTTTTATTAGTCTAATACTGCATTGGCAGTGGGATCCATTCAATTGTATTTATTTTCAGGGATGGGTATAAACCAAACCGGTTCATATCGGTTCATGAGACATTTAAACTACTGCTTTCTGCTCCCCACAAAAAGCCGCAGGAAGCAGAAAGCAGGGGTTTAAATGACTCTGAGCCATTTCACTCCCAGCGTTCTGCTTACAAAATATGTTTTTTACAGAAATACTACCCACTGTCTATTTTCCTGTGCCAGGCCAAAACTATATTTTCCCATGGGTTTTAGAATTATGGTTTCATTCCTCTAAAGCC